TTGTCTATTTTATGTCTTGGGAGTTTCACTTATGTTTGCTTCTTTCAATTTTACTATTTCAAATTAGATTGAATTGGCGTTTTGAAGAAATTTCTTCAAAAATTGTGAATGGTATTTTTTCACTATTTTTCCAAACTTGTGGTAAGCTCCATTTTAAAAGCCATATCGGTTCTCCGGCAACCGCCAGAACCCCCATTCCCTGCGTGAGCTCTGCGTTCCTCCTTCCCTCCCTATCCTCCACTCCCCTCTTCCACTGCTCACGGCTCTCGAACTGCCTCTGCAGCATCTGGTGGAGTGACCGAAAGTGTGCTATGTATGTGTTGATATAGCCTTTAAAGTGTTCTCACAATCATGCCATTGCAACATGCTCTGCGCGGGCCTGCTCGACGCATTCTCTCTCCGTTGAGAGGGCGCAGAGAAAACGAGAAGTGGGAGGCCAGGCCACGTGTAAAATCGATGACACGTGACATTGCGCGCCTCAGTGCAACGTCGAGGTTTCGGCATACACCCGTGACATTGCGCGCCTCAGTGCAACGTCGAGGTTTCGGCATACACCCGTGACATTGCGCGCCTCAGTGCAACGTCGAGGTTTCGGCATACACCCGTGACATTGCGCGCCTCAGTGCAACGTCGAGGTTTCGGCATACACCAGTGACATTGCGCGCCTCAGTGCAACGTCGAGGTTTCGGCATACACCCGTGACATTGCGCGCCTCAGTGCAACGTCGAGGTTTCGGCATACACCCGTGACATTGCGCGCCTCAGTGCAACGTCGAGGTTTCGGAATACACCAGTGACATTGCGCGCCTCAGTGCAACGTCGAGGTTTCGGAATACACCAGTGACATTGCGCGCCTCAGTGCAACGTCGAGGTTTCGGTAATACACCCCATGTTCCAGAACTTATAATCTTGTCAGACATGCAAACCGACAAATTAACACGTTGACGACAGCATGACGCGCATGCGCGTCAGAATTTCACCCGATTCTGGCTAGTTTTTTGGTTTATTTGGCCTTTTTCATATTTCAAAACTGTGTGCATGCATTATCTTATCCGAAAAACTGTGCATCAATTACCAGTAGTGGAATTATTGAAGAAGTTATGACGATTGTGAAAAAAAAACAAAAAGTTGCCGAGGTACACGCATAAGGGGCTGTCGTCAACGTGTTAAGTTAGCGCTTTAAAGAACCAGTTTAGCTCCGCACGCTACTGCGCGTATGAACGTCAGGCTTTGGTGATACTGGACTGCCTGTAGAGCGTTGGGTCCCACCGCTAAAGCATCCAGCAATAAGGTTTTTTGAAGGTTAAATCCGGCCATGGGAAGGGAGGGTCATTCCTGTGTCGACGTCGCTGCTGATGAGTTTTATGGCGAGAAGAGAGAAGCAGTGCTGGCGATGAGTCTGGTGGAATGGAGGGATGTTGCTAGGTTTTTCGCACACTGTCCATTTTATGTCTTGGGAGTCACTTATACGATATGTTTGCTTGTTTTATATTTACTAATTCAAATTAAATTGAACCTACATTTCTGGAGACATTTCTTTGGTACAGGAATTTTCCCATTACCTTTCTCTTATAAGACTTGTGCTAAGTACCATTTCAAAAACCAGATTGATTCTCCGGCAACCGCCGAAACCTCTCTGCTCTGCGTGAGCTCTGCGTTCCTCCTCCTCCACTTATCCCCTCCCCCCTCTTCCACTGCTCTCGAACTGCCGTGTGGCATCTGGTGGAACTACCGCAACCGCAGGAATGGAAATTCTGGCTGTAACAAGGGAGCTGATCTATGATTTTGACATGTCTTGTTTTGTCAATTGCTGTTCTGAAAAATTAAGGAGATATTATTTTTGACATGTTTTGTTTATTAGCCTGAAAACCTTGGCAGACATCATTTTGAATGTACTATTTTGTTGGCAGCAAATGCCCACGTGTCTTGTGATAGGGCGGCCGGTATCGTGGGCATAGCAGGGTTTCGGCGAACTTTTTGCTGAACGTTGTTGTGCCTATAATAAATACATTGATACCCAGCAATATGATTTACGAAAACTCCCTGACCATGCAACTTTCAAGAGGGCTTGGCTTGGATCAGCGGAACGAGGCTGAGCGTGCAATAAGGCATATTGAGTACGATCTATAAACCTCTGATACTTATTGAAATTCTTGACAGAGAATCTATAGTTCTGGATTCACCAAAAAAATCTACCAATGTAGGCTGCCAGTTCAGGTCAATTATTCAGCAAGTAGGGTTACGCGTTATACACAGGAGTTTTCAGATTTCCAAATGGCACTAAGGAGATGCAAACCTTTATGCTTACAACTTTCCATGTAACTATCGGGAGACTGACGAATCGAGCACAAGAGAATGCGAGTTACACAATATTGAGACCTGGGGTTGTAGTGCATTCCAAGCAAGTCGTGGGTAGTCAAAGTTGACATAAAGGGTAGCGTCGCCTTACCTAAGTGCACCGGCGATCTTAGTTTTTCCTGATACAGCATCTAGAGAGGGAACCAGATGACCTGGTAATATGACATTAATTTTCGAAACAGAGGCGATCTGGAGCCAATTTGGTGCTGCAGCTCACTCTTTTACTGCATTTCTTGTCAACTTGGACCGCTCACAGCTTACCTGGAAAGGCAGCATAGCAGTTTTTGGTCTACGTATCTGTGTAGTACTCTGTACTCTACCAATTTGCCTGGGTCTCCATCCAAAATTTCATGGGAACTTGGAAGCATTCCCTGGTTAAAGTGAACCTGCAGTTACTGAACGCAAGGTGGGTGATATTAGTCCTGGAGACTTTGCAGGGGTGCTAACCTACTGATAGTGCTGAAAATAAAAACGTTTCACGTCACATTCCTCTTGCTTTTTGAGGCCGCTAAAGCTGTAGGCTAGCTTTATTCGAGACGGGTGGCTTGGCTTTAAATGCCGGTCTTGATGCGTGGTGGTCTGGAATCCTTGTACACCAAGCACACTGAACTACCATCGTGCAACCAGTGGTGATTCTCGTTACTCTGTGCGAATTCAGCAAAATGTTTCTTTCCTAGTAGATTTAAAGGCAAGAATCAGGATTAATTGATGGGGTGATTCCACTCAAATGTGAAAGTAGGGATGGGAGGTGGACCGCCAGTGGAGAAAAAAGGAAAGAAAATCCTGAAATACACAGGAAATACGAGCATTTTGCTCTATGCTGTGGAGAAGTTCAAAAGACAGGCAGGGAGATGAGAGATAATGTGAGCGCGGAGAGCGGTAGAGAAGTCCGAGAAGAGAGAGCATAGCAGATCAACGTGGCGACGCAGACAAGATATCGAACGGTGGGCGGACCATGTTAAGTTTGGTGGAGTCTGTTAGAAGTCCATGGCGCCTAGGGTCCTAGTGACGCGTTTCGATGTAGAAAGGTGGCGCTACCTTTGCACTTGCGTACCCAGCACTTCTAGCCATGGTAAGGGCTTCTTAGGTGGGTCTGAGCCCGAACTTTGCCTTTGAAATATGTGATTTTGTTCAGAGTGGAATGCGCGGCACCTCTATGCCTTCTCCTTCATTGCTCCGGGATCTTTTCAATTGTCAGTCTGCTACTACATTGCGCTTCAACACGTTCATGCCCTGGCGAAATTCCTCGTAGATCTGGCCTTGGGCTGCATGTTTATTCCTGTTTCATTTGGAAAATGAATTCTCGAACAGACTCGAAAAGCTTCATTTTTCTTCTCCAGAGTCCATGAACGGGTTTGGATCCGGATGTCTTTTTATCAGAAGTTGTACCGCAACGCTAGCTAACTGCAAGCAAAAACTAGCTTTATACGTTCATAATGACAGCCTTTACTTAACAATCACTTATAAGCAGCCCTTGTTATGTTATGTTCACTGTTAATTTGTGTCGCAATAAAACTATTAAGTGAAATACACAGAGCAAACAATACACGTCAAGGATGAAAAACCGAAATGGAAATACTGAAGTATCATCCCGCATCGGGAAGAAACGTTTCACGCAGCAGAGGGAGTGTCGCCCTGCGTAGGGCGACACTGTTGCCAACTTAAAAGCCGATGTCAGACTTTGCGATTCGAGCGATTCGCTTGATTCGCAGTTTCACATCGGCCTAGTAGGTATCCAGCCACTTTTCATAAAACCAAACGAAGTCAAAATGTGCGCTTCATTGTATGATTGACACAGTCCGCATCGCCGTCCACTAATGAGTCAGCAGCCACGACTACATAGGTTTCTTATGCGAGTGACCAGGAAAGGATGATGGGTCGAATGAACAGCCATACAATTTGGGCAGTGTTTTTGGACGCTTATCTCGAATGAGCTTCCCAATCTGCCAATCGATTTTTGAACGGAGGCAGTGGTCCGGGCTCACGGGCGAGTGGTCGTGGGATCGAGTCTTCTCGAGTCTTTTGGAGTTCTCTCGTTTGCATTCGCAGCAACATGATGGGGTTCTATCTTTTTGCATTTGCAGTAACATTATTGGAAAAGACTCAACTGCGTTACCTGATCAACCACCTCCCTATGGTTTTTCGGGTTTCCGACAGGAGGCCCGTTGCGCGGCAACAAAACCACATTATTGGAAAAGACTCAACTGCGTTACCTGATCAACCATCTCCCTATGGTTTTTCGGGTTTCCGACAGGAGGCCCGTCGCGCGGCAACAAAACAGTCAGCGGACGAGTTGCAACGCGTACTGTAGTGATTTCGCGTCAAGTTAAATAGAATGTACCATTGTACGTCCTACATCGCACATCACGCGCTGCAACTCGTCCGCTGACTCTGCCTTCTTGCCGCGCGACGGACCTCCTGCCGGGTACCCTAGTTATTCGAAGAAAGAGTTGCGAGGAGTTCCCATCAAGTTTCAGCGGCATTTGCTAATGACTGCACATGGAGCCTGTATAGCACTCGACGGACGTTTTTGCAACAAACAGGTGCGATATTTGTGTCCAGGAGATCAAGATGTCTCCACGTGCTGTTTGTAGCCACACGGCGGCGGAATCGATTTAAAAAAAACAAATATATATTTTTGAGATATTCCCTCCACAGGAATATCGAAAGGATGCCCACATCTCTTTCGATTTGGCAATCCAATAACGTACATATGTGGAAGCGATCATCATCAAGCTGTTTCCAAGCCAACGGATTCACACCGCCTTCAGTGGAAACTTGCACATATCATCATTGAGCGTATCATCATGCTGACAGTGGAAGGACGATAGGCCGAAGTGGCTTC